CGTTACGTCTTATGACTCCTGCACACAGGACACGGTAATGCTTGCCGCGCGGCAAAAATCCGCGCGACAGCCAATCAATATGTTGTTTTTCCATAAGAGCTAGAAGGTTATTACGAAAAGCAGCATATTGATTGGCTATCGCGCGAACTTCCGCTGCGCGACAAGCATTACCGCGTCCTGTGTGCAGGAGCCATTAGACTTTCTTGAAAACCATAAATACTTTATAACAAAATTAATTATAGAAATTTATATTAAAATTGTTATAAATTATGATGGAAAATTAATGAGCCAAAAATGTCAATATATCAGATATAAATTGACAAAAATTATTTTATTTCAAGGACAATAATATATCATTATTTGGGGTAACTTTTATCGCTGATATGAAAGTTCTACCTTTATCCGTTTAATGATGCCACATGTTTTTGTAAACCGTTGCAAATTGTTCAAAGTTACCCCGGTGTTCCAAGTTACCTCAAATGACGATATTTTAAATAATGTTTTAAAAAATGTTGAACGTTCTTTTTATAATATTACATATATATATTTTTTTTTATTCATATATTATATATCTCTTATTATATAAATATACTATATAAATATTATATATTCTTATGTAATATAATAAATACAAATTTGGTATCAAATTTTATAAATATCTTATTTTGTGTTTTTATATTTTCCTTGCAAATAAAATTTTTTTTCTTGTTACTTTAAAAATTGTTGATTTTTATATTATAGCAAAGTTGTATAACTTTTTTTTAATGTAATAATTTATTTGAAGAAAAAATGAAAGTCTGTTATTGACGATTAAAGAAATATCATAATAATTTTTCATGTTTTTTTAATGATAACTGCAATTTATGATCACGGACACACACACAAAATATCTTTCACATGGTAAAATAGAAATCACAAGTATGTGATAGTTTACGTAATAGCCGTTGTTTTGTTCAGGCGGGGCTGCAGATGTTGACAGACGTTTTGCTGCAAACATAAGATAGCGACTAGCGGTCCATGGTTATATAGTCAAAGGTGTGGCCAACTTTATGCCTGTTCTACAATACGTCGTATGTCGCTGTCGTATGCGAAGTGCAGCAGATGGGTCAATCAGAGGATTTGTTTTTCGAGACGAGTTCTCCTGATTGGACTATTAATTGCGTTCCGACGTTCGACTCCGACATACGATGTATTGTAGAACAGAGGCGCCGCACACGAATTGACATAACAGTAACGTAAGCGTACCGTAAGAATTGACCAATCACTTTGAGTATCGTCGAACCGTAAGGTCGCCATTTTGATGAATACTCGATCGTAATTGGTCAATTCTTATGGTACGTCTTACGTTACTGTTATGTCAATTTGTGTGTGGAAGCCCTTACTCCTATCCGTCTCATGCCGCAAGTGGAAACATCAAGGAGTAGAAGCTTGAAGTAGCCACATATAACATAATTTCAAATAATTCAACTGGAATGTATTGACGATAGAAGACAATTTATTTAAAGTTTATCTTATATAATTTGTAATTTA